ACTGGAGAGAAGGGGTCTGGGGATGAGCATGAGCTCTGATATGATCATAGGAAACCCAGGTAGTCCTGTGTCCCTTCAGCCAGATCAGGGAAATGACTCTGTTTGGCAGATGGGAACCTATTTCTCAAGTTCCTGAGGGATGCTGGCTTTTATCGAATGGCCAGAAATCCTTCTGTAGTCCAGCTTGAGCTCCTTTTTAGATACATGGACACCTTGAGACCTAACAGACCTGCCAGCCTTTTAACTTAATTTTGAGGCAGGGACTCTGTAGCTCAGGCAAGTCTTGAATTTGTGACCCTCCTGTGTCAGCCGCTTGAGTAGCTGGGATTGCAGGCTTGCACCCCCAAACCTGCCCTGCGCCCACCATCTGAGTGGTGGTTCTGTTCCTCGGGGAGACTGACTCTCAGTGTGCAAAAGCCAGCTCTGGGATGCCCTGCTCAAGAGAGAGTCCTTGGAATTTTCCTCTTCTCCCTGTCCTCCCATGGCTTACTGTGCTGACAGCTAGCAGCCCTGTGTGGCCGTCCCTGATGGAGTGGGGTGGTTTACATGTGTCAGGTATAAGTCCACATTCTGTTTCTCAGTGACTTGGGTTATATGCCATACAACATGTAAAACTGAGACGTGCATCTAGGCCTTTAGTCCCGGCTGCGCTGGAACACTCAGACCCTAGTAGTTTCCAGTGTCGTGGGTCAGAGACAGGGCGCACAGGGCCCACTTTGCTTCCTTTATCTTAAGAACAGAAAGGAAATTGAGAAGCAAGCTGGAGTGGCTTTTTTCAGAGCAGTTAGCCTTTACTAAGAGCAGAGGGCTGGGCAGGAGGCCAAGGCAGGGAGAGCTCTGGAGTTCAAGGCCAGCCTGGTCTACAGAGTGAGTTCCGGGACAGCCAGAGCCACAAAATGAGATCCTGTTTCACTGCAGAGCAGGTTCTAGGACAGCCAGGGCTATTCAGAAAAACCCTGTCTCAAAACCCCCACAAAAACCAAAAATCAACTGTGGTTTGTCTTGCGGTCTGTCTCTAGCAGTCTCCCGCAGAGAAGAGCCTGTTCGGAAGGCAGCAGCGCTAGATGCGCCTGTGTGAAAGCGCTTCCCCTTAGTTTTGTTCTGAAGCTTTTGGTGCAGTAGATTGGAAGAGAGCTGGCTGTTTGCAGAATTTCTGCACAGCGCCTGTGCCCCAGAGGCCCTCACCCACATATGTGGAGGAACTGTGAACCCGGGCCTCAGTGCCGGCCCCTCGGCCGCTGTTGGTGGCGTCTGTGCTGCTGGAGGTGTGTGTCGTCCATTCTCGGGACCGCAGATCCCGCTCACAGAACCCTTGGTGGACCGTCAGTGTGCATGCTGTGCCCAGCTTCCGGGTTTGGTTTGCTTTGCTTGCTTTGTTTTTTGAGACAGGGCTTCTCTGTGTAGCTCTGGCTAGCCTGGAACTCACTCTGTAGACCAGGCTGGCCTCAAATTCCAGAGATCTGCCTGCCTCTGCCTCCGCCTCCTCCTCCGCCTCTCTGAGTGCTGCCATTAATGGTGTGTGTCACACACCTGGCCTCTTAGTAGAGAAATAATGACTTCACAGTTTGTTTTACTAATAGTTTAACTGCTTTACCTATTAATTTGCCAAAACCATAGACTGTGCTTATGCATATGGCCCTCACAGTGAGCCTAAAGTTTGCCTGGGGTGATGGGCCTTCCGAGATCCCCAGGCTCACCTCAGTCAGCAGAGTTCCTGCTCTGGCTGGCCAGCTTCAGAAGGTAGCGGCAATTGCTGCATTAAAAAGAATTAATGCTGCAAAACATGCAGAGAAATGGGAGGATTTCCCCTGGGCACCAAATCCATGTCAGCCCCAAAATAACACACAGAGACACTGTATTAATTATGAAACTGTTGGTTACTAGTGTCTTTTTGGACTAGCTCTGTCTTAAATATTAACTCATTTCTATCGATTTAAGTGTTTACACATGGTCTTACCTTACTGGAGAGAGGGTCCAGATCTTTTCTCTCACGTCCTCCATCTTGACTTCTCTCTACTACATCTCCCAGAATCCTCATCTCTCAGACCTGCCTATTTCACCTTCCTATCGGCCAACAGTGCTTATTCATTAACCAATAAGAGAAGCAGTTACAGAATGACACCTATCACTCCTGAGTGCTGGGATTAAAGGCGTGCGCCACCACCGCCCAGCGTGTGTCAGATTTTTGGGTGCTCTTTTCTTTTCTTTTTTTCTTTTTCTTTTTTTTTTTTTTTTTGTTTTTTGAGACCCTGGCCTCTCTGGAACTCTGTTTGTAGACCAGGCTGGCTTTGAACTCGAAGAGTTCTGCTTGCCTCTGCTTTCCAAGTGCTGGGTTTAGAGGTGTGTACCACCACCGCCCAGCCAAAGGAAATGTCTGGGTGTTAGTGCAGTTGGCAAAGCCACAGAAGATTGTTTCCCAGTAAGCAGCCTGCTCTGCTGTGCCCTAGTTAGTCCTGCACATGCTCTGCTGCGACGGGCTTTAACATAGCGTCTCACTGCATGTCACCGAACGCCCTCAGAATGCCATTTGACTGATGCAGTCATCTTTAAGAATATTAGCGCTAAGTACTGGAAGTACTGGCAAAGCTGGGTCAGTCTCCTTGTGTGATTGAAAAGTGTATAATTGCTGTCTGTCACTGAGATGCTTACTATCATAGCCCTGTGCAGCCTCACACACATGCCCCAGGGGAGAGCTTGGTCTCCCTCTGCAGCCAGAGTAGCATTTCCGCTTTGCCTTTCTGTTAGACATCTGGATTGGCCACTGGGTGTCGCCATTACCTTAGCAACCCTGGAATCTGCCCCATGGCTTGGGTGCTCTGAGCATACCCCTGAGCTGGAGCAGCTGTGACTTGCTGTGAAGGACATGTCTATGCTGGCACATAGAGCGTAGTTCAAGGTGACAGACTCCTGGTCATCTCACCTGAGTCCACAGCTCTCTCAGTGGCCCAAATTCAACTAATGAAGGGTTAGCTGTCACCCTAGCTCCAAGCAGAGGATGAAGGACACTAAGGCAGAGGGCGGTGTGCGCTAGGCATGCCTGGCAAGGGAGCTAACGGTTCGTATCTGGTGCTGGGATGCACACGTAGAGGCCTTTTGCTCATTAAACACTGTAGAGCTGCACCGAGCGCTGAGCTACACCAGTAAACCCACACGATCAGCGTTTTATCTGCATAATAACATTGTTTGAGGGTGACCTCCTTATGAGTATTGGTTACATATAATTTTTCCATTTGCTTTTTCACACAGGAACGAAATAATTGTCTAGCAGACTTGAGAGCACTGAGTGCCAGCCACACTGACCTAGCCCACTGAGGGCCGGGGCTGAACTAGATAGGATCCCGGAGAGGACTGGCACCCTGACAGCCTTGGAGCCCTGGCAGTCCCTCTAGGCTGCCCAGGGGTGGGCTTTCTTTCTCCATGGGGACATCCACCAACGCCTGGAGGCGGTTGCATAAAAACTGCCTGGCAGCCATGCCCCAGAACCCTGTCGCTCAACCTGCACCCATGCCTGGGAGCTGCTAATGACCAGAGCCAGCAGCACTGTGGCCAGGGTGGCAAGCTAGATTGCAGCTGGTGGCCTAGGCATGCGTAGATCAGCTGCTGTGTGTGGCTTCTGCCACTCACTGTCATGACATCTAGACCAGATGGTTAAAATACTTCCTTTCTGATCAGGGCTGGCCATGGTCTGTCTGGGGGTGTGGAGGGAAGAGATGGAGAAGCTGTACAGAGGAACAGCCTCTCTCAGGGCTCTGTAGATCATCTGCTGCCGCTGGCTCAGCTTTGGTGGTGGCCTAGAGGCCCCTGTCCTTGCAGCCCTGTATGCTGAGCACAAAGGTGCTTTCTCACAGGTGTTTGACAGTAACGGTTCAGGTCAGTGTGTGAGACTAACCTGACGTCCAGAGGATACGGGGCCGGGAACTGTGGGCTGTGACCCTCAGTCAGGGCAGCAGGGTGCAGTTTTGGGCAGCAGGCACGTTTCTACTCAGCCTAGCACTGGTCTGCACGGTTCTTAGAAAATGTGGGGTTTCCAGGGTGGTCTGAGTACAGTGGTGCCAAACTAACTGGTTTCTGGTGGGTATGGGGCCTTCTGGAATCCAAGCTTACAGAAGGTAGAGAATCCTGGGCAAGCTGGCTGGTCCGACTGGGTGGGCACTCACTGTACTGCAGAGGCGCGCTCTGGGGACCTGTATGCAATCAGGGTGCTGTGAGATTGTTTCACTTCCTGTTGTCAGAAGGCAAGCAGGGTCCATGTCTTCCCACCACATTCTTTATGGTGAGGTCATCGGCCTGTGGTGGTCATTGCAGGGAAGTTCATGGGTGCTGGGCACAGCAGCTGTGCAGGTGGGTGCTTCCGGGTTGGTGTGTGGTCCTAGGCATGGAGTATTGGAAGGGTTCAGATGGGAATTTTCTGGAAGAGTCAGTGTGTGTACAAGCATGGCTCTGCATGTGGGCATCTGGGTGACTGCATGCTGTCCTCCTTCCAGAGTGAAGCCAGGTTGCCAGTTTGTGCTGTAAGTGCCTTTGCCCTTTGAGCCTCTTGCCAGCCTGAGGAAGTCAGGGTAGCTGTATATACTAAGTGATTGCTAGTGATGTGTGCTTACGGTTTACAAGGGCCTGTGGCCACGGGAACCTAGTTTGAACCTAGTTTGTGTCTCCTGCGTTCAGCATTCATCTGCACTCATTCTCGAGCTGACTGGACCTGTGATGTGGACTTGAGCAGCATGATGCCACGTAATGCAGGGAAGCAGGTGGCATGGTCCACCAGCTCAGTGGCAGCAGTGGTCTGGGCAGCAAATCCAGAGATACCTGGGCCATCCTGTCCCCAGGGAAAGCATGGTTTCCAAGTCCGGAAAGGCAGGCTGCATCTATCAAGGGGAGCAGCAGGGCCCCTTGACCTAGCAGGGCCCTAGGACCCTTTGGGCATGTCTTCTGAGTGTGCCTGTTTTGGAACTGTGTTTTATAATTTCCAATCTATTTAGAAAACAATTTAGAATTGTCAATATTTTGTTACAAAATAAAGTTTTATTTTCTGATATAAAGCCCTCCAGTTTTGTGGAGAGGCCGTTTTGTCTTAACTACCCCCACCCCAAGGAGCTGTGCCCGTTCATTTATGCCAGGGTTCGGATCGGGCAGGGCTGGACTGGGGCTCTATGGGGAGCACCTGCCTTTTGGGCAGGAGACCCTAGGTTCAGTCTCCAGAACTGCCAAAAACAGGTGGGGGCCAACGGTGGCTTTGAAGGTCTGATGGGCTCTGTACAGGTGGAGCTATCCTGAAGACGTCATGGTGTATGCCTTAGGCATACCTTTTTGAGCGAGGACAGTGACAATGTACGTCCTGGTTTGCGGGCTCTCACCACTGGAACAGGATTCTTTGATGAGGCCGTGTCCCTACATGGCACATTTGCTGCCAGGAGGGTTCTGGGAGCACAGGGCGGGCTCAGAGCCACAACCCTGGCTTCAGAGGCCACGTTCTTTGGTGACTGTAGAGCGTCAGATCCAAGGGTGGTGATTCTGGGGTGTGCAGCAGACGTGACCAGGCCCGCCTTCCACTGAGAATGCGTGCACTTCAGTGCTCTGTAGTCCGGATGCACGGCCAAGCCAGAGTTGCTGGACACACTTACCAGGCCTCAGTGAGGGCACACAGACCTGTTTCCTTCCTTGTGTCCCTTTTAAGTTGCTTGGAGCTGCTGGGCCTGAGGCAGCTGAGACAACCAGGTTGGGCCAGTCCCTGAGACTGTTGTGGGGTCAGGGCCGAGGTCAGCTTGTTCTCTCCTCTCACAGCATGGAGCCCCTTAATGCGCTGCCCCATCTGGTCTGAGTGACGGGTGTCACTGCCCGTGTGTGTGTGTGTGTGTGTGTGTGTGTGTGTGTGTGTGTGTGTGTGCGTGTGCACATGCGCTATGTGTGCTAAGAGCATCCTGCCAGGCCAGCTGCCGACTCCTCCCCAGGCAGAAAGCAGGCGAGGCAAGGGCTCCCAAGTAGCTGCCCCAGGCTGCCAGAGCCCAGGGTCTCTGCAGTGGGAAGGGACTCAGCAGTGCCGCTGTTAGCAGGACGCAGTCCCTGGCACCCCTCTAACGCCTTCGCCACTGACGGTGTAGCAACAGCAGGAGAGGGGCAGGTGAGGGGCAAAGAGCACCCGTAGGGTCCGAGCCGGGCTTCTGGGCAAGCCCACGGTGGCATCGTCCTCATGGACCCGGTCAACCATCAGTCTCATCAGGATCTGGTTGGCCCAGGCGATGCCAAGGGCTGGAGACAGGTGCTCGTCCCAGGTCCTGAGACAAAGTGGGTGCTGCTGCATATGCATGCCCAACCCCACCCCAGTCCCAGGTCTGCAGAGCTGCCCTACTCACCCCAGTGGCCTGGGCATAGACTCCCGCTCCTCCACGATCTCCGTCACCTGGGGAAAAGCAACAGAGGGTGGATGACAGCAGCCACCTCAGCTGCTTACCCTCATCCAGCCCGCCCTGTTTCCCCAAGGAGACGCACGGAGCCCCTGCCTCACCGACCTGGTTGATGCACAGCACAGGGCTCCGGAAGGTACTGCTCAGTCCGCGGAGCGTGGCCCCCAGTGACTGCAGGTGCTTGGCCCTGGTGGCCAAGGCCTGACTATCATACTCACAACGAAACGGGGCTGCTATAGAGTCCACCACGACCAGGCGGGCCATCCCCCTTGACAGCAGAACGGGGAGCCGCTTACGCACACACTCCAGCAAGGCGCCCTGCGGGTACATCATGCTCTAGGCACACCTGGCCAGTGGCCTCCCTCTGCTCCTAACTCTCCAAGATGCAGCTTTTTAACAGTGGTTGCCTCCTGCCCACGGGGTGGGGGCTGGGGGGCCTGCACCTTTACTCACTCTCTTCCACTGTCTCCCAGACCCTCACCCTGGGTCCTGAGGAGGGGCGTGATCATCACAGTGACTGCCCCCTCCCAGCAGTCAGTGCAGACACCGAGGTCATCCAAGGCCACCCAACCCAGCTACAGCTCCACGGCCGACATCAGCTCTCTAGACTGGTCTAGAGAGCAGGGTGCTGGGGGCAGGCTAGGGTCCTTCTGGGCTTTGCACTGATGGGCAGGCCAGACCTGCTGGTGGTAGGATGGAGCAGTGGTCTGGTACTGTGTTCTGCACACATGAGGTACCGTGCACTCAAGGGGTTGAAAACCTGCACCAGTCACATGAGGCTGCACCCTGGAGAATATTCTAGTGGGGGCAGAGTAGGGAGGACACTTGGGTCAGCGTCTCTGCTACCTACTCCAGGAATCCTAGACTAAGGGCAGTATCCCCCCAAGGCAGGCAACCCTGGGCTCTCTTGGGGTCACTGTGCGAGGCTGGCACTAGGCTTGGGTGGCTTGTGGCTAGCTGAGCGGCCCAGGTCGGGGTAGGCTTGTATGGGGGGCGGGGTAGATGGCTGTTGTCAGAGGGAGGCTCGTGGCCACAGGACCACAGGAGAGTGGCTGAGGGTACAGCCAGGGCCTCCATACTGTCCGTAGCTCAGGGTGTTCAGCAGCTCTGGCTGCCCGGGCAGGTAGCCAGCACTGCCTCACTGGCAGCTGTGAGGAGCTGTCCGATTCCAGCAGCCAGCCCAGAGTGAAACTCTGCTTCTCTCCAGGGCATCCCCAGCAGAGCCTCTCTGTGTGGAAAACGACAGCAGCAGCCTAGAAGACGCTAGCACTAACGTGAGTATCTACACCTCCCCTCAGCCAGGGCCTGGGCACCTCGGGGATGGCTAGGTGTGGAAGAACAGGTAGGTGTGGGCCACACTGCTCCACTCACACAGAAGAGGGAGGCTCTGCTCCGGGTCCTCTTGAGCCCCAGGAAGGTTGACAGCACACTCACTGCTGGGCAGACCCCAGGACAGGAGGGAATGGAGCCGCTCTCACTGGTGGCCTGACCTGCAGCTTTCTTTTGCAGTGACCTGAGCCTGGCCTGCTCTAAACACCACAATGCTGCTGAGTGTGGCTCCAGAGCTGGCCCTGTGAAGGCTATGGTGGGGCTGGGAGGGCCCGAAGCTGGGAGCCCAGAGCTAACTTAGTCCCTCTGCCCCCGTGCTGCGGAGCATATACTAATAACCATACCACCAGGAGGGTCTTGGAGAGCAACTCTCGGTCAACAAGGCCGGTGACCCGGCCCTGTCCCTTCCTGGGAGGCTCCTGGGACAGGGACGCATCTGACTCCTGCTGCTTCTGCCTGGCCTCCCTGTGGTATTTCTCATGTGTTTAGTTCTCCGTGTTGTGTGTGATAATGTATTTTTATTGTACATTTTTTAAAATTAAAAGTTTATATGCCTTACTGTTTACCAGAATGAATGTCTGTTCGTAACTATCCCCCACCCCTATTTTTCCCCCAAGAAAAAATTTCTCTGAGTAGTCCTGGCTGTCCTGGAACTCACTCTGTAGACCAGGCTGGCCTCAAACTCAGAGATCCACCCGCCTCTGCCTCCTGAGTGCTGAGATTAAAGGTGAGTGCCACCACTGTCCAGCAACTATCTTTTTAAAATTTTTTATTATTGTGTGAGTGATCTGTGCATGCTTTGGTGACAGAAAGCGTTGGGAGTCAGTTGAGTCAGCTTGCTGTCCTCTCAGAACACCCTCCCTGGCCACAGTGAGGTCCTAGATAGGCATCCTGAGGGGGCTCAGCATCCGCATTTATATTTGGGGTGCAGGGTTATTCCCTTCTTCAAACCCGAGTGAACCTATGTGCCACACATCCCTGCAACAAGAACTTCTCTAAATTGAGCAACCGCCCTGGGCATGGCCCTGCTTCCTGCTGCTGGGACCAAGCCTAGCTGGTCCGCTTTCCCTGGGGCAGAAGGTTAGCCCCAGGCTGAGGCAGCCTCAACAGTGAGCAGCAGGGAGACGGCTCTGCAGGGCCTGTCAGTTCTCCGGACCCCAACCCACGAGACACCTTTGCCACACACCCAAGACTTGTCTCCCCCACGTTCTCCCTGGGCAGGCTGACAGTGCTCAGGGGCCAGTTAGGTCTGTGGGGCAGGCAATACACTCATCAACCCAGCACTCCTGAATGCCTGGCCACAAGCACGTCGGGGGCAGTGTTTAGATTGGCAGTGCTCTCAACTTCCCAAATGCTGCAACCCTTAAATACAGTTCCTGGTGTTGTTAGCCATAGAATTATTTTTGTTGCTACTGCATAACAGTAATTTTGCTACAGTTATAAATCATTCCATGACTGCCTAATGGGGAGCTGGTCCTCCAGACCCTTACGTTGGACAGCTCTTCTTGTCTACCCTGGAGTATATTCTGAATTGAGCCTGGTCTCTGCACCACAGGCCGAGTCACTGGGCCATTAGCGAGCAGAAATAGACACTCACCACGTCAGCCGCATGCTCAATGAAGATGTGGTTGCTGAACCTGATCTTCTGGACCACCTCTCCAGGAACATCTGTCCGCAGCTGCTGTTGCTGTTCAATGAGCTGCCACAGCCGCTTGCTGGGGAAGACATCCTCTGTGCAGATATAGACAGCCCCTGGGAAGCCAGGGCCCCGGGTGGGCATAAGAACTGGAAAGGGGCCTGTGGCTGCAAAGCCACATGTAGCCTCTGACTGTCTCTGTCCCTGTCCCTCGTAAGTTTTCACCTTGGAGGGGCAACAAGCTCAACTTGGTTCTTACCCACCTGTTTAGACACAGGCTAGCTCTCTGTTCTGATAGCTGAGTACACACACACACACACACACACACACACACACACACACACGATACCGTTAGCTCACTCCTGCTTTCTAGTTCCCCACTGGGCTGGGCAGGACCAGGCAGAGATCACCAGGGTTAAGGGACTTTGGGACATGTCCTTTAGATGCAGGACAACTCGCGTGTCCCTGCCTGCTGTCTACCCAGTGGTAAGTGCAAGAGGGGTTGACCAGGCGTGAACACGCGGCCACCTGGAACACAGACAGTCCCTGTGTAGTACACTGTTGGGCCAGACGCCACCAGATCCTGTGCGTGGAAAGAGCTGGGCTACCAGCAGGAAACCCTGTGTGTGGGCTCTCAACAAAGATGCCCATGCCTCAGCCGAGGGACTCTCAGAACGCACATGCTTACTTCTACAAGTCTCAGGAGAAAGATGCCAGGGGCTCGCCAAAGACATCAAAGCACACAGATGACAGATGTTTTTCATAAGGTGACCAGTGTTCATGTTTCAAAGGACTCAGTTAAGAAAGCAAATGTCAGCCGGGTGGTGGTGGCATAAGCCATTAATCCCAGCACTCGGCGGGGAGGCAGAGGCAGGCAGATAGATCCCTGTGTGCCAGACCAGCCTGGTCTACACAGTGAGTTCCAGGACAGCCAGGGCTACACACAGAGAAACGCTGTCTGAAAAAGACCAAAAAGAAAGCAAAGCTCATCCACAAAAGGAAAATGCACAGCTGGCTACAAACATAAATATTTAAATGGTTCTGTTAATGTAGGGCCTAACTCCCCAGGCCAGACTCACTGGAGCCAGGCTGGCCTCCAACTCGCACTGATCTCTTGCCCTGCCTCCTGAGGGCTGGGGCTACAGGTGTGGAGAGCCACAGGTAGGGCACAGTTTCTAAGGTGAGAGGTACTTTTGAAATGGCTCTGGGTCTAACGGGTGTATCTGGGGAGAAGGTCCCTCAGGGGCTAATGTCTAATTTCTGGACTCAGGAATGCTGGTGGAAATATTGGCACGCCTCCAGAAGTAGCTGTTGCACGAGACAAGCTGTGCCGAGGGCCAGGGAAACCCAAGCCTTCCTTTAGCCATCGCTTTTGGGACAGAGAGCAATGTGAAGCGGTTGCTGTGGTAACCCTAGCCGTGATCCCTACCCCGGGCACAGGGCCCAAAGCACAGCCGCAGGCAGCTATGACTGTCAGCCCACAGAGGGACCAGGCAGGTGGTTTGGAGTCGCCCTGTGTCACAGCCATCCGCGTGTTCTCTGCCCTACCTCTCCAGCTCTGTGGGCCTGAGATGGGTGAGCTTTAGTTTAAGCTGTGTGATGACTGCAGGATCGGGGGGGGGGGTGCCCCTTTTCCTTCCCACAGCCTAAGTACAGCCTCACCTTCCACGTGCTCCTCGGGAAGAAGAAAGGCAACCATGGGAAACCACCCAGGAGACAGCCCCTGGCTCCCTGGGAGGAAAGCAGCCCCCAGAGCAGGACAGACGGCTGAGTGCCAGCTGCCTTGGACCCTGCCTTCCCCACCCTCCCCAGGAAGGAAGGGGCAGCCACTCACCAGCCTCCAGGCCTCCATATTGTCGTGGGAACTGCACAGTCAAGCAGAGCTGTAGTGCCAGCTGGGTCTTCCCTGCTGAGCTGCGGCCAGCCAGGTCAGTGATGCCCTCCAGGGGCAGGCCGCCACCCAGGAACTGGTCCAGGACCGGGCAGCCCAGGCTCAGGCGCTGATGCTGCTCAGGGAAGCTCTCCCTGTGCTGGAACAGCTGCAGTGCTGTAAGGAGCATGGGGTCAGCCTGTGTCCTCCCGCAGCCCGGGCCTGTGAGCATGGGGTCAGCCTGTGTCCTCCCGCAGCCCCGGCCCGTGAGCATGGGGTCAGCCTGTGTCCTCCCGCAGCCCGGGCCTGTGAGCATGGGGCCTTTGAGGAAGTGCTGGCCTCAGATGCAGCATGGCTGGAGGACTAGCGAAGCACATGGGCTGGGTGCTGAGGTCGGAGGGCAGGGACCTGGCCGTATGGCTGAGTACAGTGTGTACGCAAGAGTCTGTCCCTGTCACACTTCCCAGGATGCCACACATATCCTATCCCTAGTGGGCACAAGCTGGCAAAGAAATCCAAAGCCAGTGTGGGTATAGTGGTGTACACTTGGGAGGCAGAGGCATCCTCATGAATTTGAGTCTAGCCTGAGCTACATAGAGAGTTCCAGGACAGCCAGAATGACACAGAAAGACCCTGCGTAAAACGGAAGGGAGGGAGGAAGGAAGGAAGCCTAAGCTCCAGGATGTGGCAGAGTACCCTCGCTGATTGTCTCTGGGTCTGTGTAGCCCTGCCCAGCTTCAGCATGAAGAGATAATGAGCAATAGCCCGTGACGGTGTGTGAGGATAGTTCTGAGCGGTGTGAGCTTGAGGTTAGTCAGGCATGAGTGAGGCCAAGCTGTCCCGGGCTCCCTCACACCACTGGGGCTCCAACCTCGTCCTTTCCCGCGAGGCCTCCCCTGGATGCTTTGTAGAGCAGCCGAGGGCCTCACTGCCCTGCTCTGTCATACGGGCTGCACTCGCTGGGCTCTGGACAAGTCACTTGGACAGCCTATCCTAGGGAGGCCGATGAGCTAGGGCAGCTTTGAGGTCTTTACCAAGGCAGGGTCTGCAGCCCGTGGGATGTCCACCCAGGCCTGTGCCGCCTCTCACCCCAGCAGCCACCGGGCCAGCCAGCAGACACTCCTGCCCACCTGTGAGGACCCTGCTGCCCTGAAGGTGTAGAGCGGCTGCTCTCAGTAGGTGCTGGACATCATGGGTGGACAGGCCGGTGAGCCTCTGCAGGTCTGGTCCCGAGTAGCACAGAACCTCCTTCACTGACTTCAGTCTCCCTGATAGGCCACAGCAAAGGGGGACCACAGTAAGTCAGGGCACTCGGGGTGGGAGGCCAGGAGAGAGCTGGGCTTCCAGATCTGGGGGCACCAGTGGAGAGGGGGGGTGGGAGGGGCCTACTGAAGGGACCTGCTGCTGGACCCTTGTGACCTGGCCCCGACTCATGTCAGCAGCAACAGGAACCAGAGGCGAGGGTGAATCCCGGTGCAATGATGTGACTGTCACCCCATCCCACTCTGTCCATAGTCCCCGCTACTTGGGAGGCTGAGGCAGGAAGGTCGCCAGAGTCTAGGAGTTCAGTTTGAGCGACAGAGTAAGACCCTCTATTTTAAAATCCCAACACAAAGTGTGAATGTGGAGTGAGAGAGTGCCTGTTACCAAGCACAGAGCCCAGGCCAGGCCAGGCCAGGCCGGGCCAGGAGGTTGGAGGCCAAGCAGAGCCTGGAAGCAGGCAGGCCAGGACGGGGCAAAGTGAGCCCCTCACAGCTAACGACCCAAGGGCCTGCTGCTTGGGGAGGAGGGTAGAAAAGGCAATTCTGGGCTAGGACTTACTTTCTATTTTCAAACCAGGTGAAAGAAGAAAGTATTAACCCCGCCCTGGGAGACAGAGGCAGGAGGATGTCTGTGAATTCAAGACAGTGACACCCTGTTACAGTCAGGGAGGAAGGAAGAGGATACACACGTGCAGGTGTATCAACCCAGGTCACAGCGTGACAGAAAGGCCTGCCGAGAGGATGAAGGCTACGGCTTGCCCACAGCAGCCACAGCCCTTCAGGGACTCGGGTGAGGAAGGTGCCCCTTATGGCACGGAGTGGCCTGAGACCTCTGCAAAGCAGAGAGCTGGCCGGGTGGTGGCAGCACGGACGGCCAGCAGCTTTCCACAGCTTGTTCTACCCAGAGCGCACGTGTAGGGCGCTCTGCTTCCCGCAGCATACCCTTCTTCAGTGCAGCAGTGATTCTGGGGTTTAGCTCCAGTTGATCCAAGTCCATTTCTTCAGAGGGTTCAGCACGAGCAGCGACAGCAACCAATCCCAAGGTGCTTGCTGTCACCGTGGACCACCTGTGGGGGCGGGCATGTTAGAGATCAACACTTAAGAGGGCGGAACACTGGCTGCTGCATGCTGTATCCATTTAACTTCTTGGGCCATGTATGGGTCCAGGTGTACACGCGTGGTTCTCACTCAGCATTCTCTACCACGGATGTGGTGGGGGGGGGACCCTGCCTCAGTATATACACACACGTCAGCACACACCCAAACAGGCATCTAAGTGTGTATATGTATGTACAACATGTGTGACAGAGAGTGAACAAAGCTCCTGGGTCAGTTTTGGAAGTGAAGTCAGTTACCCAAAGAAACCAGAGGATCAGAGGGGCATGGTGGTTCAGTCCTGTGGGAGTGCTAGGAAGGCTTAGGTACAACAGCAGAGAGAGAGAGAGAGAGAGAGAGAGAGAGAGAGACAGAGAGAGTCCAAGGCCAGTCTAGGCTACACACAGTGACACCCATCTTTAAGAAAGCCGGGCAGCGGCACATGCCTTTAATCCCAGCGCTGGAGAGGCAGAGGCAGGTGGATCTCTGTGAGTTCAAGGCCAGCCTGGTCTACAGAGTGAGTTATAGGACAGCCAGGGCTACACGGAGAAACCCTGTCCCGGTAGGGGAAAAAAAAAAAAAAAAAAAAAAAAAAGGGGCTTGAGAGAGAGATGGCTCAGAGGTTAAGAGCACTGGCTGGTCTTCCAGATGACAGTTCAATTCCCAGCACCCACAAGTGGCTCACAGCCATCTGTAATGAGATCTGGCCTGCAGGGATACATGCAGGCAGAACACTGTATACATGATAAGTACATACATCGTAAAAAAAAAAAAGAAAGAAAGAAAGAACGCCACCAAGAAAGTCACAGGTCAAGTCTGCAGCGACCGTCAGGCTGTGGCTGGCTTGGGACTGGCGCTGAAAGCAAGCTCCCTGATGCGCGGAGGGCCGGGACTCAGGGTTCGATTCCCCCGACCCCCGCTACGCCCTGAAGGGACGCCCGGCCGGGGGGAGGGGGACGATCGCTCTTTGAGCCCCGGCCTGGGCTGTTCGAAACCCACCGTGTCCTCGGCCTCCTGCGCAGCCCCACGTCTGGCCCCTCCGGGTCTCTTCCATCCCGACTCAGCCGCCTGGCGGGATCTCCCGCGCGCTCCGCCCGCTCCGGGAGCTCCGCCCACCTCAAGCTTCTCTTCCAATGAGCGTCTGGAGTCCGAGTCTGCCCCACCCAGCAGACCCGAGAAGGAGTCTACGTGGCCGATTAATTAGCCAATCCGAAGTCGCAATCTCCTCGAGAGGGGCGGAGGGCGCCCCCCGGCCCTCGCCGCCGATTGGTGGCCGGCAGCGGGGCGGGGACCTTGAGCTGATTGGAGGAGGGCGGTGCCGGGGAGGACGCCACTCTGCGATTGGCTCCTGTCCCGAGCCGCGGCTGCGGATTGGGTCCCGGCGGCGGGGCGGGGCGGGGCGGGGCGGGGCGGCTCCCTGTGTGGGCTCCGCGGGCCGTGGCGTGAGGGGCTCAGGCGGAGACATGTCCTCGGGAGTGGCCGCGCGTCGCGACGCCAAGAAGCTCGTGCGCTCGCCCAGCGGCCTGCGCATGGTGCCGGAGCACCGCGCCTTCGGAAGCCCGTTCGGCTTGGAGGAGCCGCAGTGGGTCCCGGACAAGGAGGTGCGTCCCAGCCCCCGCGGCCCCCGCCCCGGCCCCCGCCCTCGGGCGCTGGGCCGCGGCTCCCGGCCGGGCCGCGGGGCGGGCTCTGTCCCTTGGCGGTCACCGGTGCGCGGGGCCGAGCTGGGCGGCGGAGCGCGTCTGCGGGGCACGGGGAGGGAGGCGGCCTCCACCTGCCCAGGGTGCGGTGCCGGGAGTTCTGAGCTCTCGGAGCTTGGCCACTTCGGGAAAATGGAGCGCTTCCCGCATTCCGTGCGCGTTTATTTTAGAGTACACTAAGTCTGTTTAAAGGCATCCTCCTTAAGTACTGGTGACTTTCGTGAACTTAAAACTTTTTGCATTGATTTACTTGCGCGCGCGTGTAGATTTAGAGGACAATTTGTGGAAGATAATTTTCTTCTTCCACGATGTGGGTCCCAGGGATGGAATTCAGGGCTCAGGTGTGGCAGCACGTGCCTTTGATTCGTGAGCCACCTCAATGGCTCTTGTAAATTCATTCATGCATTCTTTTCCTTAAAGTGGGTCCTCACTATATACCCCTGGCTGTCCTGGAACTCACTACGTAGGCCACGCAGGCCTAGAACTCAAATAGATTTGCCTGCCTCTGCCTGGTGCTAGGCATGCGCTACCAGTTGCTATGTAGACTCGAACTCACTGAGATCTTACTCCCTCAGCCACCTGTGTACTGGGATTAAAGGCGTGCTCCACCACACGTGGCGCCCATCGCTCTAATCAGCTGCTCCTCTGCCCTCAGGATCTCATCCACTAGTGGGTGAGGCCTGCAGCTTCTTTGAGCGAGGGCCAGCGTTCTTAGAAAGCACCTGTGCTATTAGAGGCTGCCGCTCGCTGCCCTTGCCTCTCCCCCTCCCAAGTCTGAGATCACTTGAGAGCCCCCAACGAGAAGGTTCATGTCAGTACTCACCTCTTAGGGCCAGCCTGGTGTACGTAGTGAGTTCACTGAACTGCATGATGGGTAAGGTTAAGTCAGGTGTGTGTCGGGGCCAGCCTGGTGTACGTAGTGAGTTCAGGCCAGCCAGGGCTACACAGTAGTATCTTGAAACACCAGAAGATAAGGGTGGGCGTGGGGTAGTGTTGGGACACAGCCTGAATTCTGAAACCCCAGCCTTTGGAAGGCTGAGACGGGATAACGCAGAGCTTATGACTAGCCTGAGCTACATAGCTGTTTTAAAAACAAAGCAGTTCCTGGGGAGAGAGAGGGTTAGTGGGGTGGAAGTGTTTGTTGCTAGCGAGTTTCAGTGTAGCCCAGAGCAGGGCAGACATAACTTTGCAGGAGAGCCCAGTAAAGCACAGGGGTGTGTGGTGTGTGTGTGTGTGTGGTGTGTGTGTGTGTGTGGTGTGTGTATGTGGTATGTATATGTGGTGTGTGTGTGGTGTGTATATGTGGTGTGTGTGTGTGGTGTGTATATGTGGTGTGTGTGTGTGGTATGTATATGTGGTGTGTGTGTATGTGGTGTGTGTGTGTGGTGTGTGTATGTGGTGTGTATGTATGTGGTGTGTGTGTGGTGTGTATATGTGGTGTGTGTGTGGTGTGTGTGTGTGGTGTGTGTGTGTGGTGTGTATGTGGTGTGTGTGTGGTGTGTGGTGTGTGTGTATATGTGGTGTGTGGTGTGTATGTGGTGTGTGTGTGTGACATAAGAGCCCAGTTGGGGTGTGAAGCTATGCTTGTGGGGACAGAAGCTGGGGCTCTTGGGAAAGTGTTTTCATGATTGCGAGGCCACTGGCTATAAAGTAGCTTTTCAACATTTTCCGCATTGTGTTCCAGAGAGTCTTTAAGTTAGGTGTTTTAACCTGAAGAAAATTACTGTGTTTCTGGTTCACTGGCAGAAAGAAGGCCGTGTCCATGCCAGGATGGGAGGGGAGGCTTTCTGACAGGTGAGTGTACCAAGGGGGGGGCGTGGCCTCTGCCAGTGCCTCAAGTCAGGGAGGAAGGGCTTGGCTGAGTGACCAGAGCGGAAGAGGTGTGGGCAAGCCTGGGTAGCAGGCTCCCACAGAAGGTAGGGTGGGGAGGGTTGGAAGGAGAGTGACTAGTCTACAGTCCAGTCATGAGTCAGGCTTGGCGCTTCAGAACCCAATTCAGCCTTATGGGGCAAAGAATGGGGATTTGGAGTGCCTGCCAACGGCCCTGTGCTGAACCCTGGGGGCCTGTGCCCGTGATTGTGGTTGGTCTGGGGGAAGGGTGGTTCTTGGCCTGACTGGAAGAGCTGGGTTTCACAGTTGGTTACAAGGTTCACAGTGTAAAAGTTCACTTTGTGCTCTTCCAGAGGCTGCAGGAGCCCCCCCACCCCCTGGGGCAGTGTCCTGTGACAGCTCCGGGGGCAGTGGGCAGTGTCCTGTGACAGTGCTCGCCAGAGGCTTCAGTCCATGGCAGAACGGTGTAAAGTTCCTGGCCATAGTTAGCGTCTGCATCCATCATCTTTGAGTTGTCTGTCAGCTCTGTAAACTGGGAAACCTGAGCGCAGTCCCTGAGATAGACCACACGCAGGCGGGCAGCTTTCAGCCCACTGACTAATTCATGTCTTCCCCATGTCTTGCCTATGTGTGTTTGTCTGCTCCTTGCTGTCTTGTCCGTCTGTGCACCACATGCAGGCTTGCTGCCTGCAGAGGTCACAAGAGAGTGTTGGGTCCCCTAGAACTGGAATTAAGAGCCACGTGTAAGTGTGGGGAACTGAACCCAGGGCCTCCACAAGAGCAGCGAGGGCTCCTGACTGCTGAGCTGTCTCTTTTAGCTCCTGAACTGGTTTTTGTTTGTCTGTCTTATCTTTTTCAGACAGGGTCTCTCCCTGAACCTGGAGTCACCTATTGGCTACCCTGGCTGCCTAGTGAACTCCAGGGTCTTTATTTTCTTTGTTTTCCTACCTGCCTAGTGCTGGGCTATTAGGTGCATGTGGCTGTGCCCAGCTTCTGGGGATCCCTAGGCTCTGGGGGTGGTCTTACCTCAGGTCTTCATGCTTGTGTAGCCAGGACTTTACCAGCACCCCTCCTTTTAACTTTAGTTTTACCGTTGTGTGTAAGTGTGTGTGCGCCTGCAGGTGTGCATGTGCCACCCTGCACATGTAGAAGTCAGAGAACAACTTTTGAGGGTCAGCTTTTCCTTTTGAACCCAGGTCTGACCGTAAGCACTCTTCCCTTTCAGGCCACCTTGCTAGGCCCTCTGTTATTGTTAGGTGTTTGTTGTTTGTTTGAGACAGGCTTACAGAGTTGTCCAGGTTGGCCTTTTATTTCACTCAGTAGCTTTGGCTGGTCTTGAATTTGTGATCCTTCTGCTCATCTCCTAAGTAGCTGTGACTGCAGGCATGAGCCACTAGGTCCAGCTAGATTAACTGATGT